CCCAATTTGGACTATGGATCTAACCACAATGGCTTCTGCATATCCCAATTTGGACTATGGGTTCCCACCACAATGGCTTCTGCATATCCCAATTTGGACTATGGATTCCCACCACAATGGCTTCTGCATATCCCGATTTGGACTATTGGTTCCCACCACAATGGCTTCTGCATATCCCAATTTGGACTATGGGTTCCCACCACAATGGCTTCTGCATATCCCAATTTGGACTATGGGTTCCCACCACAATGGCTTCTGCATATCCCAATTTGGACTATGGGTTCCCACCAAAATGGCTTCTGCATATCCCAATTTGGACTATGGGTTCCCACCACAATGGCTTCTGCATATCCCAATTTGGACTATGGGTTCCCACCACAATGGCTTCTGCATATCCCAATTTGGACTATGGGTTCCCATCACAATGGCTTCTGCATATCCCAATTTAGCATGTATAATTCATAATTTAGGTTTAATTGACTAAATTGAAATGTTTGTTTCAAATAGAAATATTAAGTCCAGGAAATAAAGACATTAATACAGCTAATCATGATAAACAGATGTCAGTAGTAAGATCTGTTATTAGACAGTACATTAACCTGCAGCAAGGTATCATCATCATCTTGTATCAATCTGGAATTGTTATTTGAATTCTTGATTCTCAATGGTCATGGTTGTTATAGTTACGCTATGTTTGCATTTCAACAGTCTAACTTCAATAGGCCATTACTGTCACCAAAGAAGGAGGATAGTGGAACAATGTCACAGGCCGAGGAAGACAGCTTAGTCGCAAGGATGAGAATGTTTGTGCATCTCAGGCAAGACTTGGAAAGGGTAAGTTTTTAATTTGCATTCAGACAAAGTTCAGAAACAGGAACTTGAGGATTAACAGTGTGGGTGTCCCTGCATTTAGAAACAGGAACTTAAAGATTAACAGTGTGAGTGTCCCTGCATTGCTACCTGTATCTTGGTCATGCCTGGGATGATCAAATTCAAACTTCACGCACGCACACGCACACGCACACGCACACGCACACGCACACGCACACACACACACATCAAATATCTTGATACTTTCAAACCCTTCAATGCAATGTGATAAAAGCAAGTTGATAAAGGACTAAATTGCTGTCATTTGATGTTATTCTGCTGTGCAAAACATTTGGTACAATGACTGATTATATCTCAATATGTGCTTAATTAGCGACACAGACATGGTGAAATTGATAGCTAGTTACCAAAATACTATGAGCCAAGAAACAATTAAAGATATATAGGATCCAATAAAAATCTATGCAACCAGCTTGGGACCTTATGCACCAAATATCACGATGGGTCAAGTGATTGTCCCCTGAAAAATATGTACTAACTTATCAGGTCATTGAAGGCATATTTGTGTAGTAGAACTCCTGGCTACAATATCACTCAAAATTTAATTTTGCTCATGTTCAAATCAAATGATTCAATCAAACCAACATTTCCAATTATGAATGCGCCATCTTCTATACTAAATTCTCAGGAAATCGACTTAAAAGTTTGGCTCTGTACTCAATTGAAGTGTGCAAGTAGCAGTATTGTTTACAAAGCACAGTGAACTTGTAACGTGACGCACCAATTCATTATTTAATATTAATAATAAATAATTTAAAAAATAAGAACTGCTGTAAAATTCTTAGTATTTTGGGAGAATTAGAATGATGAATGCGAAAAAACTCTTTTAATTTAATTTAAAAAATGTAATTGATTGAAATAAATTAAAATGTTGTGTCTCATTTTGAAATTCTTCTTTTCCATCTAATGATTATTTCACTTTACAGGTGAGAAACTTGTGTTACATGGTTCAACGGCGTGAAAAACTCAGTAGGACATACAACAGACTGCGAGAACAAATATTTCATCGGCAGACTGATATGTTGGATAATGACGCATATTGCAGTGCGGAGGATTTGGCGTGGATTGACACAGCAATACAGAGAAGTGAAAAAGAAATAGTGACTGTTATTAAAACAGACAATATAGAAATGGAACACACTTCTGAAAACAATAGCCATGCTGACAGTGATACTAGTCGGACATGCAACAGTAACCTTTCATATCAATCCAGTAATCGTTCAAACTCGCGGAGGAGGCGAGGCAAAAGATGGAATAGAAGGCATAGGTATTCTTCGTCATCATCGTCCAGTTTGTCTAGCTTGCAAAAGACAAGTAGTCAATCCACACTCAAAGAAAGCATTTCTCTTGACATCCAAGCAGAAGTGGACAAAGGTGGTAATACAAATAACAATGCTATTGTCATTAATAACGAAACAGACTCATTGTTGAGTAACAATGTTTCTGAAAGGCAACTGAAGGAAAACAGGACGGTAAAATGTGACATGAAACGCGAATCCGAAAATAAAAAAGATGAGAATACGAATTGCAAGAGACATCGCTCTAATGGCAAATATAGAAGCCTGTCGCAGAGAAGGATGGCTAATTTCTTCTCAAAAGGAAATCTTACTATTGATCTCGATTCTCCACCTCAGAGTAGGAGGCGAGCTGGCAACAATAGGACTTCAAGGAAAGATAGGGCATCATTAAAAAGAACAGAAATATCCCCTAGACAGGAAAGTATGCGAGATGAAGCAGCGAAAGTACGAGAGTCACTTTTCGCAATGCAAAGCAGTCCCATGGGAAGTCTGAGTGGATACAGAATCCCAAAAAAAACGGCCGTAAGTCCAGCTGATATTTTGAAAAGCAAAGCAATGTCAACGGCCAAAGGTTATAACGAAAGTAGTAATGATAGTTTTACGTATACACTAGAGACAAGAAGTACAAGAAGACGAATTAAAAATGAGCTGGATAGGGATAGTAACTCGACTGATCGACAGTTTGAAAATGTTGATGATGAAATAAGTATATGCCGGTCCAGTCGTGAACCGAGTCCCACTGTTGAACTGGATGACATTGAGAAACCAGTGATTGACAGTGAAAGTAGCATTGATGTACAGTCAAGTTCAAGTGGAAGCCAATATGATTCAGATTCTGAAAATAGTAGTAGTAGTGATGAACACAGTGGACCGGTAACCCGTCGAAGGAATGAGTTGTCATCCAGTGGAAAATATCAGTTTCGTTCTCGATTAAATGACGGTGTTGGCAAACTTTGGAGCACTGCCACAGGTTTGTGAGGCAGTATAATATTAGTCAGTTCAATTAGCTTCTCGTAAAAAACAGTTTTTGGATTTGAACTTCTATTAATATTTTCTGTGTTTTTTGTTTTGTTATAAACATCCTTGATAGGTGTGCGATAGACGCATTTAGTAATTCTGTGGGTTTTCACTGCCAACGTTGAAAGGCATTTACATTGGGTTTGACAATCAAGTCATGTTGTAGTCTAATGACAATTCTGTTATTTCTATTTTAAGAGATTCTAGTTAACCCCTTGAGCACCAAAGTCAACTTTTGTCACTTTTCACAAAATTAACTGGTGTAATTTATTCCAATTTGATCTATGGACAATTATGTCAATTTGGTCCAAAATTTAAAAACAAAGTAAAGAAAAATATGCAAAATATATTGCACCAATTTTGTGTGTGGAAAAAATGACTACATACAAAGGGCTGAAAACAGGTTCTCTGTTTATTTACATCGCTTGTATTGGCATTTGTCATTGTGGCAGGGTGCTTGTATTAGTATTTGTTTAGAAGGGGCGGGGTCATGTTTAAATTTCCTTCAGATTTGAAGATGCCATCACATTTTCTACAGTTGTTGACTGCTTGTATTCATTGCTGCTGGTGTATAAAGTGTTTTCAATAAAAACTGTAGTATGCGGCTAACAATTGGAATTTGGTGTAAATAAAACATGTGGTCTTGGTGACCAATGTTCTTTGAGGCATTGCAAATTTGAGGATTATGTTTTGAACGTAAAGCATTTCATTTTAAAGTTATTAAAATTTAAAAGTTTGTATTGGCTTCCCAATGTTATCTATTATAGTATACTGCTTGTTTACAAGTGTCTTTGCAGAATGCTTGCAGACAATAGATCTTTATCTTATAGTAACTGATGAGCCACATGTTCTCGGCTTTCATTTTGAAATTTGGCTCACCATGTCTATGAACTTGTCTTACCTTGTGACCAGTCACATTTTGGAAACAGGTAAATATTTATTAGTCCTTGATGGGACAAAGTCCAAAAACAGGAACTCGTGGATTGACCTTTGTGTCTCTGTCCGTATTCAGCTTTACCTCACACATGCTTGGGCTGATCAAGTTCACATACATCAAGTATATGTTCTCGGCTTTCATTTTGAAATTTGGCTCACCATGTCTATGAACTTGTCTTACCTTGTGACCAGTCACATTTTGGAAACAGGTAAATATTTATTAGTCCTTGATGGGACAAAGTCCAAAAACAGGAACTTGTGGATTGACCTTTGTGTCTCTGTCCGTATTCAGCTTTACCTCACACGTGCTTGGGCTGATCAAGTTCACATACATCAAGTATATGTTCTCGGCTTTCATTTTGAAATTTGGCTCACCATGTCTATGAACTTGTCTTACCTTGTGAACAGTCACATTTTGGAAACAGGTAAATATTTATTAGTCCTTGATGGGACAAAGTCCAAAAACAGGAACTCATGGATTGACCTTTGTGTCTCTGTCCGTATTCAGCTTTACCTCACACATGCTTGGGCTGATCAAGTTCACATACATCAAGTATATGTACACGAGTTTGTTTTATGATCTGATTCAAGAAGGCCATTTGCCAACCATTTTAATACCAAAACTCGATCATAATCACACATTTTCACTATTCCGGAACCAGTTGTGTGTAGATAGATTTCGTTAAAGTGTAACTGAATTGGGACAATTGACTTTTTGTGTGCAAAATTTATTTATAAACAACATTATGAAAAAAATCAAGTGAAAAGGGTATATAAATTGGGTAAACAGTCAATGATATTCCGAAATCGCGCCACGCCCCCCTCTCCCATCACCTTCGAGTTTTTTCGGCATTACGAGTGTAACCGAAATGGCGCCACCAACGGGAGCATAAAGCATGAGCTAGCTAGCAGACAGGATTGTTTATCATTTTCCATACGCACGCGTTTCGTAAACATATACAACGAGTTACCAAGATCGAGAATTCCTCCGAGTTACCATCATATACAACGAGTTACCACGATCGTTTTCATGGGGAAACGCTGTGTTGTTGGCGGGTGTAGTAACACACACGGCGATCACGTAAGTTTTTATGGGTTCCCAAAAGATTCAAATTTATGACATCAGTGGACCAAAGCCGTCAAGAACACCAGGAAACATTGGGATGGACCTTCTCCATATACCGTTATTTGCAGTGTCCATTTTACGCCCGAATCATTTGTTGATCCACCAT